GGGGGGGGGGGGAGTGTTAAATAATTGAAATGATGGGTTTTCTTTTTTTTAGAAAAGACTTTTCCACTTTGAAGGTTGTTTTGCCTAAATTTGCCTTCGCTCAATTTCATTTTTTTAATGTAGAGCTATTTCCTTATCATCAAAAATATTACTCTTTATATGCTTGATCCTTTGCTCTGTCTAGCTCTTGTTAATGTCCTTCACCCAAGTTAGATGTTTGTTTCTTTCATGTTTTCCTTTGTCTAGGTATTCCAGGCCAAATGCCTGTTTCGTCATTGATGCCGCCTCCGACAACGGGGCCCGATTCCGTTGTATCCCAGGCTCAGGTAACATCTGCTCCAGTTGCCGGAGTTCCTGTGTCTGTACAAGCGGTTAACCAGCCTTTAATGCCTTTGCCTCAGACACTGAATCCTTATCAGGACCCACTGTACCCTGGATTCCCTTTTAATGAAAAGGGAGAGAGAGCCATTGCACCACCTTACTCCCTATGCAGTACTGGAGATGATCTGCCTAAGGGTAAGAAACACTTTTTTTATAATTTTAGATCTTGCTCTTTCTTTTCTGCCCCCACCATGGACAATCTTTGTTTAAGAACACAACATCTGGATGAAATAGAATGGAAGGAGTTCCTTAATATATTGGTTGATTTATGTCAACCATTTTAATAATTGTTGTGTTAGAACTCTATTTCTTTTTTAAATAACTTGTGTGCACCTTAGCTTTCATTGCCAACGTGTAAGTTATTTCAAGTGATGACAATCCTATTGTGAACCTTTTCATGGTTCTTTACTTGCGACATCAGTTTCACCAAATTTCTGATCATATGCAGTTTTATATTTTTTAGAGATTTCTTTGACCAGACATCTGTCCCCTTTTACAACAGTGAAAGTAGCAGATGGAATTTCATGTTACTTTAATAAAAATTTTGAAGCTCGCTCAGCAATTTCTTTTTTGGCTTGGGAAAATGTTGTGGCATCCTCAGAAGAAAACAAGTTCATGAACATTCTCTGCTAATCCAGAAACTGGGAAGTAGTTCTGTTAAAACTGAAATTTAAAACTGCAGTAGAGTTCCCAATCACTTACATCAGTCCCAAGGAAGTCAAACTAGCAGGCTGCAGTAGTGGTTTAAATGCTGAAATTGAAATTGTCCAATGCAGCTTGTAGCTGAAAACCACCAAAGATGAGACCTGATTTCTCAGGGGAGGGAAGTGCATGCAATGTCCTTTTAAACGTTTTAATTGATTAATGATGTTTTCTCCTAGATAAAAGTATTCTTCGATTTTTCTTCAATCTTGGTATAAAGGTAAATATCCAGATTTCTATTGGTGGGATTATCCTTTCTGCATTCAAAAAATGGTAATTTAATAGAGGGAAGAAGCAAAAATTTGATTTAATAATAGCAGTTTTCTCAGTTTTACAGGGATCAAATGATTTGGGGTTTTGGATCCATTTTAGCCTCTAGGTTGCTGAAATCCAGCCCAAATCAAAAGCAACGAAAAATCATTACCGTCTTATGGTTGTTTGGCTCATATTAAAATAGAAAGTATGTCCATAATAATATGTGGTTATTACATTTCCTTTCATTCATAGATCTCAAAATCCTTTACATAGGAGGTCAGTATTGTTATTCCCCTCTTTACAGATATAGGGAACTGAGGCTTGAAGAGTTGCCAAAGTTACCTGTTAGGCCAGGTAACTTCCTTCCTGGGAGGTATTTAAGAGGAGATTGGACAAATGCCTGGCTGGGGTCATGACCCCAGCACCTTTTCCTGCCCAGGACAGGGTGTCAGACTCGATTTAATAGATCCCTTCCAACCCTAAAATCTATGAAACAGTCCACACCTGCAGCAAACCATGAAGTGAAAGGTATTCATCCACTGCCGATTTTGGTGGAGACCCCAAAATTAAGTATCTAATAGAAATAAAACTCAAAGATAAAGCATCATTTCAGAGGGGTTCAGGTCCTCCACACTGACTTAATTCTTCATTTTCATGTTTTGTAATTCCCCCCCCATTTTACATTCAGTATAGTGTATGTATTTCAAAGATTTTTAATGAGACCGAGCACGCAGAGCAGATTGTAAAAGGTGTATGTAGGAAGTGAAACCCTGGTGAATTAAGAATCACCAATCATTTGACATTGAACTTTAAAAGGGAACCAAATGACTGAAGAAGACCTAGGTTTTTCTCTAGGTGTTGTATCCTGGTTCTTGTTTCCATACTGCTTCACTTAGATGGAGTTAAGGATGTAAAAATGCATTTAATAATTTAAGGGTAAAACATACCGTTATGAGAAAATAGTTGACCTTGTATTAGCGTAGCATGAATTGGGATCAGGGCTATAGTTATCAGAAAACAACTATTGGAAACATACAGGGTGTTCAGAGTGAAGATTATTAAAGAGAAGATGAAGCATTTTGAAAATCTGGAAATGCATATGTTAAGAAAACCTAACAAAACTCTGTATGGCCTAAGTAATAAATTTCAAAAGTAGTGTCCGTTCATAAAGACTGCTTGCAGACGTTTTAAAAAAAAACAACCCAACAACCCCAAAACATGCTTTACTGGAAGAAGCAACACATTAGTGCTTCCCGGTTTCATGGCATCTGTATAGATAGGGCGCTTCAGTAGAGCTTTTTGGTACTTTTATGTAAATCTGAGCCAATCGGCTATTATATGAAAGTGCAAAAAAAGCCCCACTAAAGCTCCTGATCTATACAGACAGTGAGTGAGCTGGATCCAACTAACAGACTGCCTCTTAGGCATGCACTGGGCTTACTAAAAAGTGCTATTTTTTGTTGTGTTGTTTCTTTTTTTTTAACATCTGCAAGCAGCCAAAAACCAAGTCATCTTGTTGCTACCTATAAACACTAGGATGCTTTGGTAGGAGTACTGCCATTGAGTCGAATTTGCTCCTATTTTTATTATGGCCATACACATTCCACATAACATGTTCTTTAACCTATCGAATACTAATTTGATGTGGAAATATGTTACTTAAGTATAGGCAAACTGGAAGAAGTCGATCATTTTGGAGTAAGTGTTCACACAGGCTATTTTATTAGTACCACTGACATGGTATAATCTTATACTGGCATATTTTTGGCATCTAGTCAGTTCTGAAGTTTTAAATTAACAGCATGTGCTCCTAACCTTATACAGTTTAAATAGTTGTGTTGTCTAGAGTGACACCATGACATTGTAGTTTCTATCATTTTTTTCCATCCTGCACCCATCCCCGTTAAAATTTTAAATTTCACTATAAAATATGCTCTGAACTCAAACTTGGGACCCTTCAGTTATAGAATGCAGTGCTTTGAGTGTGGAGGAGTTAATTAACAAAGTTGAAAAAATATGTCCAGCTCCAATTAAAAAATGAAAAGTCAGTGTTGATAAGTTTTATAGTTGATCAAAATCCAGTTTAATTTTCAGAAAATTATCAGGTTATTAGTATCATGTTATGTTAGGAAAAAATGTTTTCATTTCATAGATCTAAATATTTCCTGACTCTCTCTTTTGGATTATGATGTGCACTGACAGTATTGTGATCCCTGGTGAAGTCTGTCACCTTGTCTTTCAGCACCATCTACTGGTCATAAGAACATGTGTGTCGTATTGGGTCAGACCAGTAGACCATCAAGCCCAGTATCTGTCTCTGACAGCAGGAGTAGATGTTTTAGATTATAGCTGTCCAACTTCTGAGTGATCAGGAGGCTACACCTTTCCTTCCCTTGCACCCCACCCCCACTGGAACACACCAGCAGCCCCACATAATGCCATGTAGTCCCTCTGAACCCCACAGCCACGGGGTGTGTGTTGGGCCACCCCACCTCCAGAGGACAGGGGCAGGAAGCAGAAGCTGGAGAAGGGAGGGGCTAACCCAGGAGACTAGGGTGGCAATAGCAGCAGGACAGTGGTGGAGGGAGTGGCACCTGGACCAGCAACAACATGCTAAGCCCTCAGGGGCTGGATGTGGCCCATGGGCCACCTGTTGGACAGTCCTACTTTAGAAAGAGAGCATGTGAACAAGGTATGACTAGAGTGAGCTATGTCCTGTCGTCCTATCCGTGGCATCTGCCATCAGTTTAGGGATGTCAGAGGATACCTCCCTGATTGTTCTGTTTAATAGTTAAGTCACAGTATCCTTTCTTACCAGTCAAGAGTAGAACTGCTCACAAGTCAAATAGGGCAGATCTGGGAATTAGATTTAGACTTAATGTACACTTGTGCCACAGAGGCACTGATTAAAACTCTTGGCAGCCTGTCCATGTCTGCCTTGAGTGGACTTACTCATGGAACAGTTAGTTCTGTTCCATAGAAACTATTGTTACAGCTCAGTTCGTTATCCCAAAAGTTTATATTTAAACATTAAAAATGTATTCAATGATCTATTTCCAGTTCTTACCTTTTTTCCCCACAGCAATAGGGAGACACACATTTAAAAATAAGAATGCGACTAAAACAACAAATATCTCAAATTTCTGTCTTGGAAAAAAATGACTAGGTTTCAACTAATGCCATTTAGTGCAGTATTTTTACTTGTTTTAATACTGTAGACTGAAGCATTTCTTTATTTTACAGGCATACAGCTGTCCCATGTGGGCACCACATTCTTATTTGTACCCTCTGCACCAGGCCTACGTAGCTGCTTGTAGAATGTACCCAAATGTTTCAGTTCCTGTATATCCACACAACCCTTGGTTCCAGGAGACCCTGCTGACTCCAAATGAAAGTGAAACTGCACAAACAAACAGGCACTTTCCTGTGCAGAGTGAGGCCAGATGTAATGGTCAGAGTTCACAGGTTGACAATAGGTCTCCATCACTGCCTCTGCTTATATCTACAGCTCAGGTTTCAGAAAGTCAAGGACCAGTCTGTGTAGAGTCTGAAAATCCAGTGCAAGGTCTTCATACTGATTATGATGATTCACTGAGAGGGAAAAATATGTTCCCACAACCACCCTTTGGACACAGTCAGTTTCTAGGAGCTGTTCCAATAGCTCCTCCTTTCTTTCCTCATTTTTGGTATGGGTACCCGTTTCAGGGTTTTATTGAAAATTCAGTGGTGAGACCTAACGTTGTCATGTCACCTGAGGACAAGGGGGCAACTGCTACCACCTCAGAAAACTTATATTTGGCTAAAGAAGGCAGTTCCCCAGTTCCTGTAACAAGTTTTGTGGAGCAGGTACAGAAGACTAAAAGTGACAGTAGCTCCAATACTGTGCCACCCCCTGTGGCTAGTGTGCACAGTGAATGTGATATCTTGAATGAAACCTCAGCCAGGGTGCCTAAGATGGAGCAGATATGTACTACTGCTTCTGCTGAACAAGCAAAGGCTGGATTACCAAACCGGTCTCCACAAATACAGGGTGTTGAGAGACAGACAATGATGTCAAGTGCTTCACCATCGTTATCGGAGCCATCAAAAAATGAACTGAAAAGTACCCTTCCCAGTCGTAAGGAAAAAGCAGACAAAGCCAGAGATCCCAAGACTGCGGGTAATGTACAGACCAGTTCTGGAGAAAGTAGGGCCCAGAGAACAAAAGAAGAGAGCTCTGAAGATGAACGTGAAGTGTCCGATATGCTGAGAAGTGGCAGACCGAAGCAATTTTATAGTCAGACCTATGGAGGTGGCAGGAGGCCTAGAAATGAATGGGGCTATCCTAGCAGGGGAGGATACCAATATCCAAGAGGTGAGGAAGCCTGGAAAGGACCACCCAGCAGAGGCAGAGATGAAGGTTACCAGTATCATCGAAACTTTAGAGGGAGGCCATATAGGAATGATAAAAGGAGGGCAACCCTGGGAGATGGTCAGAGGGGACATCAAACATAGGAATGCTTACTGGGATGTTTATAGGAATAGGAATGTTTATTGGACAGCTTCAGATGCAAAAACTAGTTTGAAGTAGAGATTTCTAAATCTTCCCAAGTGTGCGGTGAGTTGTTTTTTTTGGGGGTGCGGGGGTTAGTTTTGTTTTTAAGTTAAGGGTACGCTGGAAGTGAGGCCTAGGGGGAAACAAACTCTGAACATCTAGTTTCTTAGCAACTTGAAGTTTGTTTTGGTTTAGAATTTTTTCCAAGTATCTGAAAAGTAGAGAATAAGGCTATTATTTAAACTATAAAAACAGTATAGGTTTAGCATTGAACTCTTTCCCCTGCCCCCAAAGGTTTGAGTTTGTGATACAGTAAGATGGTTTAAAATATTTAGTAGATTGACAGAAATAGAGCATTTGACATGACCTAGAGTCTAAATTGATTAGCAACATTGCACCAAATATAAATGTGTATTTTATCATAAAATGCCTTAGTTTTAAACTGAGCTAAAGGAATTCTCAGCCTACCGCACTGTTGTCTTTGACATGCTTCCAACCCAAAGGCCTTTCATCTCAAAATCTGTCAAACTTGAATGTTTTCTCTTTAATGCGTTACATGTATGGCAGCCAGCTAACCTTGTGTCTTAGGTATGTTGTATATAGTTCTTTTAATATTCATAGGGTATATTTTTGAATTTTAAAAAGCATTTGTTGAAATCAAAATAGAAGTAAGCAGTCAAGAGTAGCTGTGTGTGAATTGATAGGAAATTCAATGGAATGGCTGTTTCCACCAAGAATTCGTAATGCTGGTGTGACTAGAATGGTGCCTATGCCAACAAACTAATTACAAAGACAATAAAAATGTAGATGCTATGCATTTCCAAAATAATTCTGCATCTGTTAATAGCAGAAGGTTTTTTTTTATGCCACTTTAACACTAATGCACTGACAAATCCTAATATTTTGAGAGATGCATAAAATACGTTACCTTTTTTTAAGTTTGTATTAAATGCTACTGTTCAGCTTTTTGTTCTTGTTGTTGCACTATGATGCAAATCTGTTATGCTTTGCATGTACAACTCATTGCTGGAACTACTTTTTAAAACAAGATAGGTGTACTTTCACAATATATATATATATATTCCCTAGAGTTTAGAAGAAAGTGGCTTTTGCCTTATATTTTTTCACTGTGTGTCAAAATTCTGATTGCTGTGTCTTCAGACCCCTAAAGATGATGATGGCTGCAGTGTTTCTGATCGTGTTTGCTGTTTGGAATTCAGCTATCCAAACGCAGACAGTGCAGTGTGCACAATATCCACTCAGCTCTGTTGCTTTGTATAATTAACCATTGTGTATATTTTTATATCTCTGTATATACCAGTGTATAAGGTGATGGTGCCCTTTTATTCATGTCTGAGATTGCATACCTTTGATCAGGAAACTTGAGTGATAGCTGTGACAAAGTAATTCTTTTCAGATGCATGCCATGTATAAAACACCCAATTAAAAATAAATGTTTTTCCTTTCACTTTCTTTCTAAATTATATATTTTTAACCACTGGTGTAATAACATTTGTCAGATTAGTCTTCTGGTTCTGTTGCTAACTACTAATGGTATGTATCAGCAGAATTTAGTGGATTGCCATTGTATTGTCAGCTGCTGAGTTCTGCTACAAAGCTGAACTCATGAAGTGACCACTGAACAGCAATTAGCGTTTAGGCACTTCGCAAAATAATATATGCAAATTAGCATTCATAGTGATTTCTAAGGGTTGTTCTCTTTTTACCTGAAAAAGACCAACCTATTTGAGTGGAAAAAAAATTCTTTTTGGAATGAAATTTAGTCTTACCCTGTAGAGTTGCTGTTGAGAACTAACATGCTGAAAGGGTATATACTAACTATGCTTTTAAACTTTATTCACATTCAGTGATTATGGGTTGAGGCTTAATGAATAAGGCTAAGGAAGCTTCTCTTCATATTCTGTAGCTATTTTGCTCTTTAGACTGCTATGCTGTGAGCCCTATCCAATGTCATGGTAGTTTTTCCTGCACATTGAATGGGCATTAGACTAAACATTTCCTCATCTAGGTTTTATGGACTGCTATTCTTTATCTCAAGTCAGAAAGTGCTCTTTCTAGACTTTTTCCTCAGGGAATGATGAAAACAGGAGCATGTTGGTAAATTGTGAAGTGTACTGCTATGTGGTTTTTGTTCTTTTTTTTTCCCCTTTCAAAGGTGACCTGCAAAAGACTGAGCCTGTCCCTTACTTTGCTAATCATCTAAGATGGTTTGACATCTGAAATGTGTGATAGTTGGAGGCTTTCCCCACCCCTGACCTTGCTTCTCTTTTTTTCCCATTATTTGGAAGGGTTGGGGGGAGGGTTAAGGCCGGTCTACTCTTGTCTAGTTGGAAGACTTGAGGAAAGGAAGGTCTAAGATTGCTTGCCAGCTCTACTGTCCTGGTTGATCATGGTTTTCAAGCAGATGAATCCGATTAGTCAAGATGGCTACTCTGAATGTTTAGCATGTGCTTTAGGCACCTTGTTGAATGCAGGCATATCAGCTTAATCAAAGATACAAGGGAAGTGAAACCTTGTCATGTCTCACTTAAAATTTTGCCATCAAAATAAATAGGAATTAACAAACAGAAAGCCCAGAGTTGAAGTCTAAAAATTCTTTCCTCGGCTTTCACCCTTGACTCTGATACCTTCCAGGTTTTTGTCTCTTAAAACCTGGTCTGTATTGGCAAGTCTTAGACATGTTAGGAGTGCAGTTTTCATGCTTCTGACAGTCATCTTGGCAGAAGGCCTGGCATGGGTAATTCAGTTTATACCAACAATAGGTTGCCCATATGTCATTTGAAGCTATATGAGCAAGTGCTCACTGTATACACCCAGCCTGACAGGTGTTTCTCTAAACTTATTTCTAACTGAAAAACCAAACTGGAATAAAAATATTCATATCCTTAAGGACTCCAAGAAAAGGGGAGCAAGCTCTATTGTCTTTGCAGGTTGCATTTGATAGCCTTTCCGTATGCAGGTAGTAACAGCAGGTAAATGTTCACCAAAGGAGATGCTGAACTCTTACTTACTTTAAAGGTATAAATATAGCTGAAAAGCTACTTTGTGTGGACTACCATGGGTCAGTAACTTTCCAAGTTGGCTTTTTTTTTTGTTCTGGTGTCTGAAAGTTGATTTGTATGCTGAGACACTTTAGAAATAGCATTTTCAGTTAAAGACCTTGATAAAAAGTTAATGTTGAGGTTGCTACCTTCTCATCTTTTTTGGCTTTATTTTGTATAAAAACACTGAAATTAGAATAGACTTATTTTGGCGTTTTTAAAGAGGGAGGCCATGTGGTGCACAGTAGGGCATAAGACCTGGGAAACAACATTGTCTATTGTCTAGTAACTTGACTGCAGGTTCTCCATCTACAAAACATACTTTTTAAAGCTGCAGGTGAAAGTACTTTTAAGTATTTCTTCAAGGAATTGGCTTCAATATCAGAGGAAGTTTGACTTAATGTGGACAAGAACAATTATCTTAAATGTCACCTAATCAGAAAGCCTTAAGTATAACTTCCAAATAATTGCTTTTTTTTCTTGACCAAAGGGTGGGAGTCTGTTCCTAAACAAAGACTTGCATAGCTTGAATTGCTTTCTTGCTTTGATCTTCATTTTGTGCCTTTTCTTCTCTTAGTACTACTGTATTTCATTGCTAATAGGCCCATGCTTCTGGGGACAATCTACTCTTTCAGTGCACGTCTCCCTTGAGCACAACAGGTTATTTAAACTCTACAGCTAGCTTCCTGTAGGAGCCAAGGCCTATACACTCTCATGTCATGTGGTACAATGCACAGTTTAATCTCTAAATATTTTCCTGCCCAGCAGGTGCTTTCTACTATGTCCTATTCTCATTGTCCCCATCTTGCTTTGAATTCCTACTGTTGCTAACACTGCAGCTGCAGCAATGCTAGAATCCCGAATTTAGACCATCCTGTCCTGGCAGCCATAACTGGCATTCTGTTGCAGCTATCTTCTTCATTACATATTTCTGTTAATTCCTTCTCTTTTCACTGGTTTACTTGATAAAGTATTTTCTTGTGTAAACCAACAATTGATAGTTGGATAAAAACGAGTGTCAACTTAAAGCAAGCTCAACAAAATTGGCTGAAAACAGTTCAGAAATTACTTTAGCTAATTGAAAACTTAAGCAATGAACTTCAACAGAATATTTTAGCAGCTGTCTTCAGTTCTTAAAGGTTACTATTTTTCCTTTTGGTTAAGGCAACCTGTACTGGTCAAGTTAGTGGACGTATGGTCTATTAATATCTGTCCTGAGTTTGTTTCAGGGGTGAGCCACTACGTACCTAAAGCCTAACTGCTTGCTTTTCCCTTGTCCAAGCAAGTCAAGCAATGTATAAGCAAAGTCTTTCAATTCAGTGTATCTCACTTATTTTTTTATCTAGCTAGATACAGCTTGTTTTAACACCTTTCCCTCTGACCCCACACACAATTCTGGAACAGCCTGCAAGACAGGCCTTTAAAGACACTGAGCCTCCTCAGCTCACATTTAAGCCAGGAGGCATTCCATACCTCGCACAATGGCACCGTAACACTTTGAGCAATATATACATGGTATTGTAGGAGAGACGTGCATGTCCTAATGCTGCAAACACCATTTTTGGTTGAAATTACTTGAATGACAGAACTTGGCAATGTTAAATCTGGCCTCACACTGAGTACAGTTGATGAATATGTGAAGTTATGTGTAACAATACACCTCTTGAAAGGTCTGAAATTATGCTATCATATCACTTTTGTATATATTATATTCAATGGTCTTTTTCTATGTTCTATATTTTTTTGTAGCCAAGAAAAGTGTTTTGAAAGTATCTGAATGTATAAAATATTTAATGCCTTTATGGTGTGATGCTGCATTGTGTATATAAAAAAAAATATTAAAACATTTCGTCTTTAACTACCCTTGACTCTAGTCTGCTAAAAACCTATATACAGCTGTATGTATTACTGAACTATGTAGTAGTTCTGCCTGGCAGACTACCTGGTACCCAAGTTAACTAACCTCTATAAACTTTCTTCTTTAAGTTGGTTAGATAAAGAAAACCAGAAAGGAACAGACTGACGGTATCTCCTTTTATAGTTAAATCATTTGGCCTTGCTGTTAAATTTGATCATGAATCTCTCATGTATTTAACTGCCTGATTCAGGATAGCATTTAATGAGTTCTATTTATTTCACAGGCTGATAGTGGTGCTTTGTTGTAGCAGAATCTAAAAGAGAAAAAGTTTTGACCAATACTTCCCAAATTGATATAGTAATGCGTTTACTATTTTGAAAATAAAAATGTTAAATACTATTCTCACTGCAATCCAAAGCCTGAAATCTTTTGAAGAACACAACACTACTAGATTGTGCCTTAACTAGAAGAATTTACCTACCTTTCCCCCCCATCTTCTTACAGGTTTGTCCTGTATTTGGTCGGGGCAGACTGAAATGCTCTCTTCTCCCCAAATGTTACTATGAAACATTGCTTCCATTATCAAAATTCTTACCAGATGTCCTATGAAAATTATACACTAGCATTAAGATACTAGAATAGTTCATATAGCAACAACTGGGAGTCTTTTACTCTGACAGGCTTGAAATACCAGATCTAAAGTCATCCTGTTTTAAGTATTACCCCTCTTGAAGAGGTTGCAATGCCCACTAGTGAGGTTTAGCAGATAACACTTTTTGTTAACCTGGACTAGTATGAAAGAACTTTGTGCTGCCACTGCCTTAATTTAACTTTTGATAAATTGCTCCTAATCTCAGTCTACTCCTTCCAGAATACCCTAGACCAATTCCCAATGGAAGTGCTTTGATATCTGGCTTTATTTTATGGAAAAAGTAGGGGCTGATACCTGCTAGGAACTCTCAGGACTACAGAGGAGTGCACCACCAGAAATAAAGCAGTGTTTTCATAATAAACTAACACTCGTACAAAGAGACTCCATATCCAACCACCTTCATGTGCCTCGGAGCCAGCTACAGTGTAACTAGTTACTTTGGCATTGCTTAATCTGGGGCATGTTGTGGTACCATCCACATCTAACACAAACTTTACAGCACCAATTTTGAATACGTGATCTCAGGTGACATCCTTCACACTACCAGTGGTTACCACCTAGAGGGTACTGCCTCAACAATTACCATGAGAATGCCAGGCTATGCATTTAACCCCAAAGTGCTTTTTTCATTCTTAAATTGCTAACAGGAAAGGATCCCCACCTGTTTTCCTGATGACACTTTATTATTATAAGCCTGAGCTGGGAGTGGTATGTAGATTGGACTGGCAGGCATCCATCTTTCTGGCCCTTTCATGCAACTTGCCCTTGTGTCTACAGTCTACACTACCATCTACTACTACTGGAATAATCAGCTGTACCTTTCCAGGGAATTAGGATATCTTGTAGTCCATGAACCTCAAGGGATTACTTGAAAAAACCTGACTGAAAAGCAGCCTATGCCAGTTCAAATACATAGCCAATTAACTGGAAATACTATTGGAAGTAGTATAGGAGTGCACCCCACAAGCTTAGACATTCTTCACATCTTTATGTATTCACCTCTGATAGGCTTTGCTTGCTGTAATAGACCCCAGTATCAATACATCTCTACAGAGAGGGACAGGAGGTACTATATGCACTAGATTTGCTTGCCTTGATGTTCAGTGCCTAGCTTTCTAATGTCTGATGAAAGAGCAAACGGCCAAGATCTGAAAGGATATGTTTCCTCTAACTCCATTTCCAAAGCACCCAGAAATATCTGACAGGATACTACCATAATCCACCTGAAGATCTCTAGTAGAGATTGCTCAGTAGCTGGATCTCATGCTCCCATAAATTCATTTGCTCAAACTCAGATCTCTTCAACTGGGTTTTTAAGGCAGCAGATCATGTTACTCCCAGATCAAACTTTCTTTTATACTGGCAGTCAAGCAAAGAAACGGTATTTCTTGGATGTTCAAGCTACAATGCCAACAGGTTAACTAAATTGTTAAGTTCCATGTACCTGAGAAAATTCTGAAAGAACAGTTCATTCAAAGTTAACCTGGGAATAATGAACAGGATACTAGATGGAAAAAAACACTTTAGTGTAGGTCAGTGGCCACCTGCATTCACTGACCCACTCCAGAGCCAGAAAAGTTGTCTGTGAAGCTGTCTCAGAGTTATGTCCCACAGCTGTCCTCAGACCCACTGGCGATGTGTTTGCAGCTGCCTCGAAAACAACTTTTGGCTCTGAAGTGCAACTGCAGACTCAGATGGATGAGACTCATTCAGTTCCACCCCTCCATGAAATCTGCCACTGACATTGTTCAGACAAGTCCTTGATGGGAAGCAAAGTCAAATTCGTGAGGTTTATTCTGGATGTTACCACTCCTCCCAATTTCAGAGTGAGGAACTCAAGTTAGTAAGACAATTAGGCCTTAAGAATGGACTACACCAATTCACTTTTTATGCTTCTAAGCAATTTGGTTTGTCAAGAGTATAGAATACAATGACACTGATACAAGTAAAAAGTAGTACACAGCAGTGACTATAAGCTGCATAAAGTAAGCAATGTTAGCTGCATTTTCTTCCCCTTTCCCAGCTCATGGTTCAGATTTACTCAGCACTTGAGATGCAGTCTCTAGTATTCTCCCTTCCCAAGGCAGTTATAACTGTCTACTATGATTAATGAAGCCAGGACATTTGTTTGAGGGGCAATGTACCAGGGAATGCTAAACTGTGGATCACCTTTCACAGTTAAAAAGCAGCTCATACCTGGAGTTTCAGAACACAATGCAAGACTTACCTTCCATAGTACATTGCATAGAGAATATGAATAGAAGCAATCTTCTTTATGTTCTGTTCTCAAAAACAGAAGTCAACAGACTTCTGGATAGAACTTATTTTCTAAGTAATATATGGTCCCAGCTAGAACTAATTTCAGAAATGTTTACATAACTTAAAGTTGTCAAAGACCTATGCATTTGTTTAGAAGGCTTGGAAAAAAAGTGACATTATTTCAAGTCAGTAGATTCAAGCTTGTTAATATGATACCGTACATGGTTTGGGTACTTCTACTTCCCCTAAACTAGTTTTTGCAACCCAGCAGCAGCATAAGATGGTGACAGTGATCAAAAGCCTCTGAGAACTGGTTATCATTGCTTCTGTGCAGTAGATGGAGTCTTGCTGAAGACATTTTACTTCCTCCACCTTGTTGTAAAAGCCTGCACAGCACACAACTAATGCTCACAATTAAAGCAGTACCTACCATAAGCCTAGTGTTTGGCTATCTGGATTTAACATAGAGTGTTTCAGTTATAGAAGTTAAATTGGAAGGGGTTTAAGTATTTTTTAAAAGAATGATTCTGTTCTATTAAGAACAATGAACAGTTAGGGGTAAGTCAAAAGATATACTGTGATGTAAGCTATTTGAAGACTGAGCAAATACTTTCCTGTTATAGAAATGCTTAAAGAATGTTGTATAGTTTAGAAAATAAGGAGCCAAGAACTCATACACACCATCTGCCAAGGTAACCAACAACAAGAATTGTATGTTAGATGAATATTTATTTATGAAGCCCTCACCCAGAGAGATTCAGCCTTGCTTTTAAAATATGAGCAGCTTCTGTAGCTTGACAGTCTTCTTTGTAAACTTCAAAGATTTTTAAAATTGGAAAAATCTTGTCAGCGTTTGGTACATGAATAAGTTACACTTGGATTGAAAACCTTTCTACATTTTGAAAAATCTAGAGGTTTGTACCAATAATATTTTGAGAAGTATCTATTTTGAAACATTACATTGGAAATATGGCCACATCACCAAAATACAGAAGTGGCAGTTTCTGTTGCTCAGACTAGAGTTTATGCTGCTACTGGCCTCTGATGGTACACACAGCAATAACATTTTAGCTCCAGAGTGAGTGGGGTGTTCTAAAACCTGATTGAGTTTATACAACAAAAAAGTTCAGATTTTAAATTTGTGTTTCTATAAACTGATAATGAAGAGTCTCAGATTTATGTTTAGTCATCCAAGAAAAAGTAGTTTCCACTCTTCTTTTGTTCCACATCCTTAAAAAAACCAAAATGAAACAGCATCAGTATACTTCCCCTTTAGAACACTCACTGACAAACTAAATTTGAAGACCAGAAATGAAATACAAGTTTAAGTAATATAAAGTGAGGATTAAAAGAAGGAAAAAAAGCCAACTCTGGCTCTACTTTCCCATCCCACTTTTCAGTTCTGTCTGCTGTATAGCAAAATACTACAAGGTTCTGTTATTTTTCCATTTCATTGTTTATTTTTCAGGCTATTACTTGCATTAGACAAAACCATGTCTTTTCTTTAGGGCAGTTTCTCTTACCTTGATTGAGTTGAGTTTGTTTATTCTTGGTCTGTAATTGTTGGGGTCTCTTCTGAAAGTAATTTCAAGCTGAGACAAGAACTTATTCATACCAGCCAAAAGAGTCTGCGGACTTTTAAAAAAAGGGTTGGGAAAGAGAAAAAGAGAGAATGGGATTAAGAGGCTGAATATAGGATTAAATGCACATGAATATGATGCTCAAGATTATTTCTATTTAGGATTCTAGTTTAATGTTCAAACCTAAGACTTGCAAAAAGCTAGGCCTCTAAGTGGCCTGATTTTCAGAGAAGCAAATCACCCTCAATTCTACTAAAAAGTCAATATGGATTACAGGCATCAAGAATATCTGGAAGTCAAGTCATTGAGTCCTAAAATGTGATTTTAGGCTCCCTATTTTTAAATGGTCAATCTTGAAAATTTTGGTTCTTAATCTTAAGAATAGGATGGGAACTACCCATATATACTATATATACTTGACCATTTATGCAATGACAAACAACATTCATTATTTCCCAACAGTTTCAAAAACACCTGGTAACCTACCCTTGTGCTAATGTAGTCCAGACTATCAATATGAAAAGCTTGAGTGTATTAGATGGACAATTTTTTTGGCTGTCTTAATTTACAGAACAGATTTTGCAGTGAGATTCTGGATTTGTTTTTTTGTTAACTGAGTTGCTGGGGTCTTTTCTGAAAGTAATTTTGAGCTGATACAACATATTCACACCAGCCAAAAGACCCAAACACAGAAACAAGATACCATTCAGCTTTCATCTGTATCAAATTTACTTTGAGAAAAACATCAAATGCATAAAATAGAAGAATGCAGTGGGTATATCTAATGCTCACTGAGCAATTATTGAAGTATTTAATGGTTTTTCCCCATAAAAAGCCATTGAACCATCCAGCCATGTTAAAATTATGTACTGGATGCCTTAAAATACTAAAGCAAGATTTGCTTGTCATCAGAGTTAAAGAGGTTTACCCACAACCCCCTTAAAGCACAGATCTTTCACAAACTCCCAAATCTGTCCCAGTATGCCCAGTGCTACAGATGGCTTTGAGGAAAATACTGGTTTCTATGTACTGTTTTGAAATACTTCCAGCAGGCTTCCCTCCTCCCTTGACCTGCCCTTCTTAGTTCCACAAGATTTTAGCTTTTAACCCATTTCCTCCTCTCCTTTTCCCTTCCTGGAAGGAGATCAAGCCTGGCTGGGCTCCCAAACATAAATGAGCATTGAGTTATACGTAGGGGTGTACCAATAAAGATTTTTTTGGCTAATACCAATGGCCAATTATTAACCAGCCATAATTGGCCAATACCAATCCGATAGCCAATATGCAGCCTGGCAGCTTGGAGAGCCTGCAAGTCTATGTGGGGGAGGGAAGGAGTATGGGGGTAGAGGCAGATTGAGGCCCCTGTGGTGAGGAAGGGAGTGGGGTTGGGGGAGGCCAGGGTGAGGTGTCAAGCAGAACTGCGGGCAGTTCCTCCAGGGGAGAGGGAGGTGGCTCCTGGCTGCTGTGCACAGAGGCATATAGGGCATGTGCCGCCCAGGATGCGTGTGGGGTTACAGCAAGCTGCCTGCTGTGGGGCTGTACCAACCTCTTCCCAGGGGGGTGCAGGGCCAGGGCTGTGTTCTGGGGATACAGT